CGTGAAAAGGTTGGAATAGCTCCAGTGGAAGATAAGATTACAGAGAGTTACCTTAGATGGTTTGGTCACATAAAACGGCGGCCATCCGATGACCCAATTAGGAAAGTGGATATATTAGATTTGACTTATATTACGAAAAGGTAGAGCTAGACCTAAAAAGACTTAGAAAATATTAGAAATCACATTTCTTTATTAGATTTAGATGAGAATTTGACCCTTAACAGAACACAATAGAAAAAAAATAGATTCATCTAGCCAACCCCACATAGTGGAATAACGGCTGTTGTTCTTGTTGTTGTATTGGGCCACATAATGCAATTCAAGTGATTAATAATAATGCTTCTAAGAATGTCCTCGCAAGTGTTACTCACAATATAAAATTTCATGATCGTCTACTCGTATACTATTTTACATGGGATATTAATTTATTCTCTCATTTTTTTAATCTCATTGCAAGAAAGTTATTGATAGTGAAATATCCACACATATATTGGGCTCCCTGTGCTGCTCATTGTTTAGATTTAATGATTAAAGATTTTTTTCAAAATTGAAAGACTAAGGCAATGCTTTGAGAAAATGATGGTACATAGTTTCATATATTCAATACATTATTTGCTTTACATTATGAAAAAATGTATACTCAACTCTCCTTGGCCTATTGGTTGAGAGCTTTGGCTTCCAACTAAGAGGTTCAGGGTCCGAGTCTATGTGTATGCGTTGTGTGTGTGAGTTTCCCTTAAATGGCCTAAATGTCCCAAAAAAAAAATGTATGAATAAGCGATCACATGTCAAGCTTGTTGAGACTTGTTTTGCTACTACATTCTTGACTTTACAAAGTCTTCATTAGTGACAATTAAATTTGAAGGAAATATTTACCTGTGAGAAATTTGTATTGGGTTTTTAACAAACCATCTCACAGCAATTATTTTGGAATACTATTGTTTATGCTATAAAAAAGTTGGTGGCCCTCTATTAAAGTTCCTTAGATTGGTTCATTGAGATAGGAAGACTCAAATGTGTTATACATATATATATATATATATAAGAAGCAATTGTTCTAACTTCAATAACAATGATAAATACGAGCATTTTTTTTATTATTAATAGAAGATGGGAAGTGCAATTCCACTGAACTTTACATTCAACTACACATTTTCCAAATCCTATATATTTTTGCAATAATCAAAATATTGTGAAGGATAGGGAGATATTTAAGGGACTATATTCATGCATTGAAATATTATTTAAGAATGTGGATGAAGAAAATAAAATTAGCAATGAATTAAGAGTCAGTATTAGAGGTAAAAAGTTATGTGGTATTCCACCAGCAGTAAGACAAAGGACCACTTGGTTACCATTCATCATTGTATAAGTAAAATTATCATTAACAATAAGTAATATTTTAATATTTGAATTATAAGAAAATCAATTAAATATTTCATTACTTCCAGCTAATTGGTGGCAGGCGTAAAGTCAGGGAGCTCTATACTTACAAAGTTTTGCAAACAAAGTCCTTACCCTAGCCTATAGTTCATCTAGATCTAAACACAATTAAAGTATATTTGAACATGTATGTAAAAAACCAAAATATGTGTTGATTTATTTCATAAATGTTTCTAATGCGGTAATTAAAATGATATTTCAATTGTAGATTATTGTAGATTCATAACAAAAAAAGAAACATAATAGATCATGGTCACCTTATATAATAGAGCATGGATTCACATATACAACTATCGTGATGTAATCGATCATATTTTTGGCTGACATAGATGATACAAATGAGTGACTAATAGCAAAAGATGGATGTTGTCAAATAACAACAACAACAACATCAAAACTTTATGTCACTATGCGGGGTCCGCTACATAAATCATTTTTCTCTATTGTGTCCTGTTAAGAGTCAATTCTCATTTAAATCAAATAAAAAAGGTCATTTCTAATATTTTCTAATCAAGCCTTTTTAGGCTTACCTCTACCTTTCTTAATATAAGCCAAATCTAATACATCTACTTTCCTAACAAGGTCTTATAAGGCTGTCGTTTTATGTGATCAAACCATCTAATGCGACTCTCTCTATCTTATCTTTCACTAGAGCTACTCCAACCTATTCACGTATAATCTCATTTCGTATCCTTTCTCTAAGAGTAAAGCCACTCATCCACCAGAGCATCCTCTTTTCTGCAATACTTAATAATATGCTTCTCTTTTAATGGTCAACATTCTGCACCATAGCATTGCAGGTCTCGCCACCAACTTATAGAATTATTCCTTCAGTTTGAGGGGGACTTTTCTATCACACAACAAGCCCGATGCATTCCTCCACTTCAACCAGGCAACTTGAATTATACTACTAATATCAAATCTATTTCACCATCACTCTGAACAATAGACCCAAGATATTTAAAAGTTTACTTTTAATAATGACTTGATTGCCCAAAGTCATAATCCCCCCACTAGATCTGTTATTACTAAAATTACACTCCATATATTCAGTTTTAGATATACTCAAATGAAAGTCTTTAGACTCTAAAGTTAACCTCCATAATTCAATGAATTAAATTAGTCATCTAAATTAAAGAGATGGAATCTTTATCTAGACTTCACATTGTTGCAATTGAAAATGAGGTTGATGATGGTGATAAAGAGAATTAAGAAATAGAAGACAATGCTAATAAAAGATATGGGAAACTTTGACTTTTGATGATTATGACGATTTTCAAAAAGACTAGAGTTATTTCTTGGAAAAACCAATATAGTTGAAAAAATAATTATAATATTTTGAATTTCAAGGGATGAGATGTTAACGAGTTTAACTTAAGCATTGATTTGAAAGCTTTTATTATCATAATGGTTTATCTTTCAATTTTATGATATTTCATATTAATAAAAATTTTAATTTATAACTATTTTATATTATGCACCATATTAAAAATGCTGAATGCTACATCATACATCATGAGCTATGTCTCCACGAGATGTACCATTCTCCATGACAAGTATAATTCTACTAGTAGTGAGGATTTGATAATCGCACAATAAATGCAAAGCCATTTTGGTGATGTATTCATATCGCCATCACATAACTAACTTTAAGTAATAGACATAGAGATAGCAAAGCATAGCCACCTAGAGCGACATTTCCCAAAATAAGATATGGGCAGTGAAAATTAATAAACTTTTTAGAGTATTGGAAATAAGCAACTTTATAAGTGTTGAAAAAAAAAACCTCTTTGAACTCTGCCTCAGGGCGTACGTCTAGAATCAAAAAATTGTTTTCCATTTGGAGTCGTAAAGCTTCCTTCACTTCAACACTTCTTACCTGGGGAAAAAAAAATAATAAGAAGCCATGTGTTAGAACACCATACAACTGCAGACAATTATTAGTATTGATAAGTATCAAATAAGACCGTCCACATCAAAATATCATACGAAATTTAGAAGAAAAAAAAAAAGCTTACTCTTCGTGGAGAATGAAACAAATAATTGTATCCAGAGGATCCATGTTTATATTCTATATGATAAAAAAATGAAGCTTATTTCCATAGTAGAATTAAATAAAAGTAGACGCTTGGGTCTCTTTAGCAGCTAGTAAGTAAAAAAACGTCAAATGAGACCTAGTTGGGTCATTTTGTGGTATCAGAAAACAAGAATCAATTTCAGATGGCTAAAGGGTCATTAACAATCCCTTCATGTTCATATGCTAAAAATCAATATACTTGTTATTTGTTTTAATTCAAAATGTATCGTTATAAATAAGAACGCCATGTTATTATAAAAAAACAATTTATTATAACAGATAAAATATGTTAAAATTTTTATGTTATGCAATCTTATGCATGGTACAATTAAAATGCATTTTATTTTTATAAAGCTTAATCAATGAAAGTAGCTACAGTTTATACAGGATTATATATTATCTATGAGATATGATATAAAGTAATAATCATATATATATATATATGATTCATATCCATTTATCTAATCCACTATGATGCACGGACACGGACACGGACACAGCGACACGGACACGACACGACACGGACACGGGACACGGCTTTTTTTGAAAATATAGGACACGGGTACGGCGCTGACACGGCAATACATTTTTTTATATAGTGTATATATATTAATGTAATATCATATTAAAAATGACAAATAATAATAAATGAATGATATGATAACTGGCCTAGCTTATAATATAAAATATTTAGTACAAAATATCTAGTACAACCACAAAAATATAAGCAAATAATCACTTACTACAACATCAAGCATTCAAGCTTCAACTACTAGGATTAGCTTTAGAGGTTTGTTTTTGGCCTTCAATATCATCATCATTGAATATCACTGCTTTCAACTCTGATTCAACAAGAGAAAGATTTGTAATTGTACAAAAAGAGAGGAGATGAAAATACCTTCACTGCCAAAGAGAAATGAAAATGAGAATATTCGATGAATGGGTATTAAATGCAGACGTTGATTTGGTGTTGTGGATATGAAATAAGAAATTTAGTTTAAATCTCG